GGGCAGTGCCGGGGCCGCTCCTCGGGTTGTCTGCTGGGATTCCCGAAGGATCTTGTCTCTCTCAGTGGTGAATGTGGGAATCTCGGCTGGCACGTGTTTGCGGCTCTGCCGTGCTGGGGAAGGGCAGCTTTGGTGCTTAACCTGCTGTGCTCTCAGTTTGAGGTGGATCTGTACAAGAATGAGTCGGCCTGCCAGACACCCCTGGACCGGCAGTACTGGGAGGAGATCCTCAAACTGGAGAAGGCTGGAGGCCGGAAGAACTGTCGCATCTTCACGTACACGGATCATGACCGATTCACCAACCTGGAGGAGGTACCACTCTTAGTTACCCCTCATTTGTACAGCAGTGTCTGTCAGAATCACTGGACCTGCCATGGAGGGAACATCTGTCTGGTCTTGGCCATGCAGCAGTAAGCCAGGTTTACTGTATGGAGGACAGCAATACCGCTTCTGCAGAGCAGCTTCACATGGGGCCCCAGCCCTGGGATGGGATCTTCCCGTTTCAGAAGGATGGCCCCTCAGCTTGGAGGGACTTGGCTTTGTAACATTGCTCTGTAGGTAACTTGCTGTCTAGAGTTTAGCTGTAGTTTACTACAGAAACAGCACATAAAATCTACAGTCTTTTAGTGGTTTGTTTCGGTGTGTGGGTGCGCTCTTCTCTCCTCCAGGAGTGGAGCTGTGTTTGGGAAGGATGTCCTGTTACAATTAAGCTAGTGCCCATCTGTTTCTCTCCTCCAGCACTGCCAGAAGGTAACTGACTCAGATCATGAGGTGCCATCATATCTGGCAGAGAGGATGGCTAATGTGAGGAGGAGAAGACAAGACTGTAGGCCAACGTGAGTGCCAAGGGGGGCTTGGAGCTTGCTTACGCAGGTTTCCTGGGGCTGGCACCCCAGCCGTGGAGCAGCCTGGTCTGTGGAAGTCGGTGGCTTGAGCTGTGTCACACTTGGAATCCAGCAGTTTCACTCCTTGTTATGGGGGAGTGGTGCTGCCTGTGCCGGGCTGTTGAGGTGTGTTGTGACCGGTGCTGTTCTGTTGTTGACAGAGAAGCAAGTTCTCTGAAATCGAAAATCATCACCTGGGAACCCTCAGCAGAATTTATAAAGAACAATCATGTGATTAACACTCCTGTCCAGACCATGTACATCATGGGGGACTTGGGACCTTATGGGAAGTAAGTAAAATCCTGAAGTGACCTTAATTTCCCAGCAGAAAACTTATCTTCCCTCCTTACTCAGATCCTTGTTTCTTCTATTAGTTAAGGGGAGAGAATCCCAAGAGTTCAGTAACTGACCTGTCTTTCTGCCTCTTCCCTCAGTTGGGAGGTAACTGAGTGTATCCCTCCAAAAGGCTTCTTAAGCTAATGTGGGAAAGTATGTTTGTGTTTGTTCTCTTCTGTACTCCCGTGGGCCTTTACCAGCTCTGCTGTTCCAGAGCAAGAGGGTGTCCGTGGTCTGTATTTAGACTGTGTTTGCCGATGTCTTCCTTTAGGCTTGGTCGCAGGGAGTATGAACATGTTCTTTGCACAATCAAGGTGGACGACAATGGGGTGATCACAGTGAAGCCGGACTTTACTGGCACCAAAGGAGCCTACCAGTGAGTGGGACAGGGCTGGTACCTCCATGGACTGATACAGAGGGCTGAAATGGCTGGTTCCAGGTCCTGCTTCAGGCAGTGGATCAGCACTTAAATTGAGGGGTGTTTTTTAACTTTATTCCATGTTATTTAACTTTATTATGAACTTGTTCTAAGAGAAGATTATTCTGTACTTGTGCTTGATTATTCTGTACTTGTCACTGCATGTGGGATGTGGGTGCGGCTTTGGTGGCAGTCCCTAGGGATGCAGTTTATGCATATACTGGACACAAGCAAGTCTCCCTTTTTGAGTCATTGGTGCTAGCAGGCACTTGGGAATGAGGAGAGAGCTGTTAGTGCCCTTATGTTGCTGCAGGGTGTGGTGGAGGGAGGGCTGCTGGCATAGTTGATGCTGTTGCTACCTGTTCTCTGTGTAATGGGGCAATTTGCCGATGTGTTTTCGGGCTCTGCAGGATTGAGGTGGATGGAGAGAAGCGAGAGGTGTGGAAATACACCATTGAGAATGCATCTGTCCAAATGAAACCAGAGGAGGAGGAACGTGAGCAGCGCGTGTTCAGAGACGTAAGGACCAACCTCCACTGATTGTACTCACTAGTCCTGATTTGCCAGAGGGGGCTCAGACTCTTATGGAGATGTAATTGTGCTGTAGACACCTAAAATTGACAAAACGAGTATCACTCGCAGAGAGGCCCAGCAATTTGAAATTTCCAACAAATATTCCGACTGCTTCATTCCGTACTGTATGTAGAGGCCTTGCCCAGTGTTAGTTGTGTTGGCCTCTGACTGCAGTGATGTAGTGAGAAGTGATGCAAGAAACCACCTAAATTCCTTAGTGCCTTTCTACTACCATCTGCTGATGGTTTTCCTTCCCTTTTGAGCAGCCAGCAGACCCTTTCCTCGGTCTCCTTCTTGCTGCCTATGGACTTATCGGATGATTTCTTGTTATCTGGAATATCCCAGGATATTTGGATCTCATTTTATGTCCTGATCTTTCTGAATTGCCTTTTTGGCTGTGGCAGTGTATAAAGGTACCTGGAATCATAGAATAGGTAGGGTTGGAAAGGACCTTAAGATCGTCTAGTTCCAACCCTCTGGATGGGCAGGGACACCTCCCATTAAACCACGTCACCCAAGACTCCATCCAACCTGGCCTTGAACACTGCCAGCGTTGGAACATTCACAGCTTCCTTGGGCAACCTGTGCCAGTGTCTCACCACCCTCATAGCAAAGAACTTCTTCCTTATATCTAATCTGAACTTCTGTTTAAGTTTGAACCCATCACCCCTTGTCCTATCCATACAGTCCCCAGCGAAGAGTCCTTCTCCAGCATCCTCGTAGCCCCCTTCAGACACTGGAAGCTGCTCTGAGGTCTCCACGCAGCTTCTCTTCTCCAGGCTGAACAGCCCCAATGTTCCCAGCCTGTCTTCACATGGGACATGCTCCAGCCCCTGATCATCTTTGTAGCCTCCCCTGGACTTGCTCCAACAGCTCTTTATGTTGAGGACACCAGAACTGTACACAATACTCCAAGTGAGGTCTCACGAGAGCAGAGTAGAGGGGCAGGATCACCTCCTTCCACCTGCTGGTCACGCTGCTTTTGATGCAGCCCAGGATACGGTTGGTTTCTGGGCTCAAGTGCACACTGAAGCTGGCTCATGTCAAGCTTCTCATCAGCCACCACCCCAAGTCCTTCTCCTCAGGCTGCTCTGAATCTCTTCTCTGCCCAACCTGTAGCTGTGCCTGGGATTGCCCTAACCCAGGTGTAGGACCTTGCACTTGGCTTGGTTGAACTTCATAAGGTTGGCATCAGCCCACCTCACAAGTGTGTCCAGGTCTTGTGCACATTCAGGTTCTTAAGATGATCTCGAACCTGATCCTCTCTTAATGCACTTAATGTTTCAGTTTTTCATTAGTACATTTTGTTACTGTTTTTGTGGTCGATAAGGAAGTAATGATAAGCTCCCATCTGTTGATTCCATTGGAGTAGTTTATGCCTGTGTTTTTAACATGCCATTTAAGATCTGGTTCTTCAGAGCTTCTTTTTCCCTTAGATGGGCATTTGGTGAGGTCTTCTCTGAAGCTGAAGTTCCCTGCAGTGTTAGCAGTTACACATCCTTGTTCTCTTAGATTCTTATATGCTTTCTATCTGCTATAACAATTAAACCCCTCATGTGCTAAGGCTGTTGGCAACTTAGGTTGGGGTTAAGTTACATCCATTACAATTTTGCAATAAGTAAAAATATAATGAGAAAGACACTTTTTCTAACCCATTTGTTCTGTGGTTGCAGCTGTACGGGCGGTACAAGGAATACCTCAGTGGCCTTGTAGGCTCAGAGTTTGAAATGGTGAGTACCTGGAGCCCTGCTGCCTTTGGAGGCTCTTGACCTGGTCAGTGTGGCTGCTGTTTGTACCACAGCCTCCAAAGACTGTTTCATGCTGGGGTGTTGGCAGCCTTTACCTTGCAGTAAAGGTCCAAACAGATGGGTTACAATGGATGTGAGCCCTGCAGAGATCCCTCCCGTGCCTGTCGGGCCAGCAGCAGCACGTGCTGAGCGCTGCAGTGTCTCTGAGACCCCATGCTTTGTCTGAAGGCCTTTGACTGTAACACTTATAAGAAGAAAGGAAGGTTTATATCTTTTCGATAGTGATTGCTGTTAGCTTCTTGAATGTCAAACATGTCCACATGCCACTTAGTTTAAGTAAACAGCCCTTCCCCCCTGCAAACTCTTGCAGTTTCCTTTCTCACTGAATTACCCAGACTGCAATCTTTTTTTGCTCAAATCTTGTTTGCCAAAATGTGAGAGTTCTACTTTCTTGTACTTAAGAGTATCTCAGCTTGTCCTGTACTTTCTCCTTCTTCCCCCACCTCAGGCAAGTGCAGGAGCAGGTCAGGAGAAACAGGACTATGATTTCTGCAAGTGGCTTCTCACTACATTTTATATCCATTTTGAAGTCTGTAAGAGACTGATTTACAGAACAGTAAACTCCTGCAGCCAAGGAATGTGGTCTCTCTAGAAAGCCTCTCTCCAGAGCCACTGTTCACTTCTGGAAAGTGATATGAGAAGCCGTGACTCCTACCTGGCCAGCAGTCTGAATCATTCATGTACAAACGTCTGTGAAATACCTGTTGAGGACCTGCTGGGAGGCGATTGTTTGAGGTTCCACCAGTGGTCACTGAGCATTTTACCTTGTTTATCTGCTCGTTCTTACAGACTCTTCCTGGTACACTGCGGCTGTTTGTGAATGGAGAAATAGGTGAGTCCTTACTCTAAATGGTAACTATAGGGGCAGATCTGGATCTGCTGTGATGGCTGAGGCTATGAAGGGTCCAAGGATTCTTGGATCACAGGCTGGTCCAGAGAAGGTGATTCTTGCTCTAGAATCCTTTACTTCTCTTCCTCTCCTGTTTTTGCAGACTAAGCCCTTGAGTGGCATTTACAGATTGGAGGATACAGATACTGCAACTGTTCTAGGAAGACATACAAATCTGAAAAAGAGAGCAGAATGGGAAGTTAATAGAGGTTATAGCAAAGAAAGCAATTAAATGTGTGACCTCCCTAATCTGATTAGTGATATGAGGACAGGACTAGTCTAGAGGAGTCTTCTCTGAGGGTCATATATTGTTACTTTGAAGGCCCTGGCTTTTCCCAGCTTCCAGCAGTAACTAAGGAAACCTGAGGTTATTGGTGCTGGCTCTCCCAAAAGTCTACAGTGAGTACAGGAGGAGTTTGTGTGGAAGTGGGCAGCTGATGTTCATTCTCTCTGCTCAGTTTCAGCTCAAGGCTATGAGTATGACAACCTCTATGTGCATTTCTTCGTGGAGCTGCCAAACCGTAAGTGTTCACATTTCCAGCCATATCATAGCAGTTTAAGGAATGAAATGTGCTTCAGCTGGTCCATCAGATCAGCTCTGCTGGAAGTCAGTAAAAGTTAATGTCTGGGCTGGGATCTAGTCAGAGGTCTTCAGAGCTAAAATTGCACAACTTAATTCTTTGGACTAAATTCATGTCTGGGAGAAAGTAGCATCTTCCTCTCTCATCTCTTCCATATTAGGCTGGGACATGAGGTCCACTGGCTTCTCAACCAGTGGTGATGGTGTCCAGCAGCCTGCCCAAAGTTCATTCCTTATCCTGCGGAGAATAGTCTTACAGTCTTCTCCATCTCAGCAGTGACCTTGCCTGATTTCAGTGCTTGCTGTCATGGTCCATGTTTTGTGCTAACACGAACACGCTAAATTTTGGCTCCAGCACTAACATGCGCATCCTGCTGCCTGTTTAATTCCCCTGAAGCTGTGGCTCTCGCTTCCCTCTCTGGTTGTACCCTGATGTTTGTCTGAAGAGGTACTCCTTTTGCTACTCAGTGCATTTAGAGAAGGTTGTACTTTTTTCTTAAGAAAGGGTTGGTGCTTTTCATCAGCTGTTCAGGAGGTTGTGGGGAGCAGCCATTGCCTGGAACAGGACAGTGTGGGACACATCTAGGGGATGTTCAGTGTGGGTGATGGTGTCTGTTATCCCAGTCATCTGAGACTGACGTTCTCTTTGAGCTGCTCTGGAGTGTGAGTCCTCCCTCTCACCCAGCACATTCACTGCTGCGCTCATGTTCTCCTCTTCTCCCAGAGTGGTCGAGCCCAGTGTTCCAGCAGCTGTCAGGAGTGACGCAGACCTGTGCCACCAAGGCAGTGGGCTGGGTAAGGACACTTTGAGACCTGCAGAGCAGTCTGAATGGACATTCTTTGAAGTGGAATGTGTAACATTTACAAGTATATTTAGCAAAGGTCTTGACTTGGGACCTCCTTTCAAGGGCAGAGCATGTTTGGGATTCTCCTCATTCTAGTTACATTTGCCATTTTTCATGGTGCCACTGTTTCCAAATAAAACTAGATCAAATGAAACCGCTTCAGAGCAGTTTCTGGAACCTCACTTTTTTCTTTCTTCTGGCTGATCGATTGCCTTTGGAGCTTGGATTTTTGTGTTCTTGGATGTTCAGTTAACAAAGCATTGTTCTGGCTGGCCTGGGGCAGGAGTGCACAAAGTCTAAACTGATTTCTCAAAATGAACCCCTCCTCCTGTGTGGGAAGTTGGTTCCATTGCTGTCTCCAGCTCTTCTCTTAGAAAATTTGAGTTTTATCAACTTTTAAATGGCTTTTACATGAGCTAGTTTGCATATTGCAAAAATAATTACCCTGCAGCATTTTGGTCATACCATTGTTTGAGGTATTTTGCTTGGCTCCTGTAAAGATTGTGGCAGTGTAGTACTTCCACAGTTGGCTGAATTGTCATTTGTGGGTGCTACTCTTTTCCCTTTTTCATTC